AAAGAAAATATAGACCATGTTCTGAGAGGAATGGAAGAGATTTGTCAGATAGGATTTTATTTAGTGCATAATGAGTGATGTAAACTCATGTTACTCAAAGTGTGGCCCATTGATGACTGCCAACTCATGAACTGTTTGTTATCAGTCTGTGATGGAATTAGGCACTTGCGCCAAATGTAACTCAACTATGGCTCTTAGCAAACAATTTCGTTCAGCTGAGTTTTGCTTTTCATAGCAAAATTTTATTGATGTAGGAGACAGTGGATTGGTTTACATTCTGACACGAGCTCCTTGGATCTGCAGTTTGAATGACACTGATCTAAAAGGCAGTGTCTTGCATGTGTTTATAGCAAAGATTATTACAAATAAAATGCCATAGGTGTCAAAGTGCAAATGCTTAGTAGACTCATACACAGACAATTTGAGTTCTTTACAATAAGGAAATGTTATGTGCATTTGTCTTCGCAAGGCTCAGGGTTAACCACAGAATTCATATAACCTGAGAGCCTTAGAGGTACAGCACAAGGGCCTTTTATCTCTCCTTCAATTCAGGGCAGCTTGAACAGCCTGAGGTTTCTGTTGGCTTTGAAATTCCTGTTACCTAGAAAAAAAGCCTGTCTGGCCTGCCCCACATTGCCAGGACAATGCATATCACCAACCATCTCTTTATTCTCAGGCAGAGGGAATTAAAGTGTGAAAAGACAGCTCAGACTTTTTATACTTCTTTGTCTTTGCACACTCTGCCCTCCCCTACCTCAGCCTGGAATGCAATCCCACTACCTCACCACTCTTCTTTGCTTGAAAACTCCTATTCACCCTTCAAAACCTCACACAGAGATAGTTGTTCCATTCTCTGCAATGCCATAGCATGTTATTTTTATCTCTGGGGTAACAGTCACCACACTGTGTTGTAAAATATGTGTTTCCCTGTCTACTTTGCCAATGTAATACTGAGCCCTTTGAGGGCAAGGTGTCACATTCATCTTTGTATCATCAGTGCTGAGCACAGTGCCTGGGCCCAAGTAGGTGCTCAATGATGGTTTATGGATGAATAGATGCATAAAAGCACATTCTTCACATAGCATGGTGCTAGAGAGTCAGCAGGCATTTAGGTAATGTTTGTTGAAGGAGTAAAAATGCATGTGCTTTGATGATACTTTGTTCAAATTAAGTGTGCAGAATAGCAAATGAATCAAAGCAAAATCATATTGCTGAAATGACAAATACCTAAGTTTTAACACTTGGATTGAGAATGAAATCATTTGGCCAGTTCCCCAGTGGAGCCCTGAAAAACATATTCATAAAGCCTCTTAGCTAATTTTCAGAAATATCACTGGCTATTTCTGAGACTTTTAACCTGTATTAATTATTTCACTGCAAAACAAATTATCCCAAAACTTAGTGTTTAAAAACAACAAACATTTATTATCTCACAGTTTCTGTGGGCCAGGAATTCTGGGGCAGCTTCACTGGGTGGTTCTGGCTCAGAGTTGCTCATATGGTTGCAGTCAGGATATTGACAGAGGCTACAGTGATCTGAGGGAGCTCTGGTAGCGTAGTGGCTAAGGCACTTGACTGCTAACCAGAAGGCTGGCGGTTCAAACCCACCAG